GGCATAGTAACTAGGATCACAGCAACAGGAATCCTGGATGAGGAGAATCACAGCAAGACCCTACCTCAAAAGTAACCACTAAAAAACAGGGCTGGAGGGGTGGCTCAAGTGGGAGAGGGCCATCCTACCAAGGCAAGGATGTGAATGCGATAGAATAGTTATTTCTACATCACATAAAGGAGTTTGATATCTTTCTTCAGCCCCAATTTCTTCTTTAATTACCAATAAGAAATTTGGTTCTCTCTTCTAGAAGCTCCTGGGTGTCTTATGAACACCTCAATATTAAAAACAGAACTCTAGTTGGGCATCAGGAGGCTGAGATTTGAGGATCACAGTTCAAAGCAGCCCTAGCAGGAGTGTCTGTGAGACTCCAATTAACAAAAAGCCAGAAATGGCACTGTGATTCAAGTGGTAGAGTACTAACTTTGAGCACAAAAGCTCAGGTACAATGCTGAGGCCCTGAGTTTAATTCCCAGGATCAATGCATGTGTAAGCATGTATACACAATACACACACAGAGCCACAAACAATCCCCTCCCCAGAACTCCAGATATTTCTCCTCCCCACAAAATGTCTGAACAGAGGTACCCAACCATGTCAAATCTAGATCAATCTGTTTCGGCCAACCCACAATTTTATGGGCAAGAAATAAATACTTCTGGTGTTAACCATCAAGTCTAAGCAAAATCCAATTAATACTCTAAAATTAGAACCCAGAATTGTAATACTTCAATCTTTAGTCACTATTCCTTTTCCCCTTTCCTCCCACCACATATTAACTTGCATATATTTGCCTGTTTGCTCTAGGTACTGTTTATATCGGTCAATAAAATAAAAATTTAAATGGACAGAAAGTTTTATCTATTTAATTCATTGCAGTGTCCTCAGAATAAAAAAAAATACTTATACTCAAATGTTCATTTAAGTACAGGGTAGTTGAATGAACAATTAGCTCTCTGTTAGCAACCCTGGTATAAATCCCTTATTATAGCATTCAATATTCTACAAACTGCAGCTCTTTAAAGATCGTATTTCTTGTCTTCACTCATTCAACATGACTCAAATCATTGGTACAACAGATTGATGCTTTTTATTTGATTATTCAGTACTGAAGAATTTCTAGAATTAGGAATTTCTAGAAGAGATAAAGGAATTAAACAGCCATAAAATTGTGGTGCATAAGATTGTGGTGCATGATCCTAAGTGCCACTTACTTCCTTCAAGACTGCTACTGAACTATAGCAGGCACTAGAGTCTTTCATATTTCATCTTAAAATAAACGTGCTCCTAAAACTTTTTTTTTCTAATAGCACTTACTTTGGTTTACTAGTAGACTCTAGCCTCTTTGACAAGGAACTGGCACTCAATAAATATTGATACATGAATATATTTACCTGTCTGGTTAAAATGATTATATATTATGCATACACTACATGTACACACACCTAAAGTTTTTTAGGGTAAAAATGTATAAACTTCCGTGAGCCATTATTAAAACTCCTTGGCATATCATGATAAAAAAAAAACTAAAAAGGAAACACAAACAATAACAGGAAAGTAAACCAGCCTCTGGTAAGTAGAGGCTGAGCTAACAAGGAAGGAGGATGAATATGGCTGAAGTGATTCATTTCATTTATGAAAAATAGAACAAAAAAAACCTGTTGAAATTCTTTTAAAAAATGTGGGGGGGGGGTTAAGAAAGAGTAGTAGGAGTGAAGTTGGTTGTACGTTTTATATATATATATATACACCTTTATACACATATATGTATATATACAAATGTGTGTATGTATGCATGTCTATGAAGGCCTAATTGGTACAACTGATGTTGTACTTTTAAACAAATAAATAGATTCTTCAGCATAAAGCAAGTACTTTCTAGGAAAAAATGCAAAATGTAAACATATTAAGACTTCATAGGATAGAATAAAGACAAAGTAAAATTACTAATTCTAAAATAAAAGGAAAATAAGAATATAACAAAAGGCAAGTTGGTTTTTGAGAGTTGAGTAAAATCCTCTTAAAAGTCCAACAAAGGAAAAAACAGGTAACATTGCAATGAAAAGGAAAATTTAAAACTACAAAGATATTAAGGATATTAATGGAATACTTCATATAATGTTACAGCAACAAGATTAGCCACAAAAATAGTATGCTAAATATTTTCTAATTAAATTTTTAAAAGGTAGAAGCATTATGTGAACTATAGTCACAATAGAAATTCAAATATATCATAATGCATACCACTAAACTGCTATCAGGCTTAATTTTATAAGCTAGATCAGATAATTGCTATTATAATTCTCATTATTCCCTCATTAAAAATTATGGAACAGTCATTTTTCAAAAGTTATATATAACCTATATTACAAATGGAAAAATTAGGGGGAAAAGTCACTAAAAACTCAATTAAGAGCATAAATATAAAACATCAGAAAATTAAAACCTGTAGCATAGCAAATCTATAGTTTATTATTACTGGCTATAAGACCCTGACAAATTACTTCACCATTCTATGTCTTTGTCTTATCTGTAAAATGATGATCAACCTAATTTAGTATGGGGCTGTTATAGAAAGTCCTTGTAACGGTGCTTGTAAGTAATAGTTATTATTATTATCTAAGAACAGAAAAGCAACATGAGTCCTGAATTATTTTTAAGAAGGAAAACAAAATGCATGAATGTGAACATCTGTTTTCTTAAACATGATAAAAAGTTTTCTTAAACATGATAAAAATATCTAACACAATTCAACAACACAAATTATACTATTTTAAAATACTGGGTTAATCTTATTATATTATTAAAGATACTCAATATGATCACTAGTTCTCATGCTATACAGACTACAATACCATAACCTGAGTAAAATATTGGGAGATGAAATTATTAAAAATAATATATAGGTAAGACTGAGAACAAAATCATATAGAATGAAAGATTTTAATAGTTGTCTTAAAGATGTACCAATAATTGGTACATTTATGTTAGAAATAAGAACAATTTTTTTCTTTGTTTTTGTTTTTGGTCGTGGGTCTTGAACTTTGGGTCTGGGCACTCTTCCTGAGCTCTTCAGCTCAAGGCTGGCGCTCTACCACTTGAGCCACAGTGCCACTTCTGGTTTTCTGGTGGTTTATTGAAGATAAGAGTCCCACGGCCTTTACTGCCCAGGCTGGCTTTGAACCTCAATCCTCAGATCTCAGCCTTCTAAGTAGCTAGAATTACAGGCCTCAGCCACCGGTACTCAGCTAAGAACAAAAAAAAAAATTAAAGCAAGTCTTGTCACAATAACAAAAGTTTTATAGTACTTAGAAATAAACTTAATGAGAATGGTACAAGAGTATATAAAATTTCATCCACCAGCAATTGTACCCTGAATACTATTAACTAGCTCGGCAGTCCTGTATCTTCTCAGAAACCTAGAAACTTGGAATCCATTCTACACTCCTACTCTCTTCATATCCAGTTATGAAGTCATGCCTACTTATCTTTACAAGTAGTTCTGAAATGTTTAACTGTCATTCTACTTCAATTATCCTAGTTATTCTTTGTATAGACTCTACTAAATAGTTCTTTCTACTTTAAGTCCTATTCCTCACAAAATCACAGCCTATCCAGTTGCCAGAATATTCTATAATACAAAGTGACTAGACCAGTTCAAAAAAAGAGATCATCTACCACTGCACTCAGGAGTTCAAGCTCAAGATTTTAGGTACCTAAGTTATTTGGATCAAGGATCAATTTTCTTTTCGGTTTTTGAGGAACTAAAAGTATGGCTCTGTGATTAGAATATGGAAGTATCATTGACTAAAGATGCCAGTGCTTCTCACAACTATAAACATACATTTTATATTAATTAAAATATACAGAATGAAGTGCAAAACTTAAGTGACTGTTTAAGTTAAATGACCCTTGCATCATCCTTAACATGAGGCTGATGATTTATAGGTAGGTGACACTATCTTTCTTCACACTCCATTTACTATCACCTATAACACAGAGAACCCAATTATGTCAGTCAAGTCAATTCTTTACTCTGATTAATTCGACAATGGTCTTCAAGACCATCACATGATCTCACCTGTACAGTTCAATTACTGTCATCCTCACTAGTACCTAGTAGATTGTAGAATCTAAATGAGTGAACAATCTTGTGTTAACAGATTCTAGTCATCCTTTATGAAAAGACTGAAGCACTAGCAAACGGTCAAAGATACACAGCTAGGAAAGGCAAGCTATCCACTCTGCTATCACAAATGGTGCTGCTCATTTATGTGGATTATAAAATAGTTTCTCAATAAGACTACTTTCCTTTCCCCACAGTTCTTTCACTAGAGAGGATAGTTCCTATCGTTCTTCCCTGACTGGCAAACCCCTAGCCACATTCCAACTACGTTCACTAACTGCAGCATGGAATAATTCATGGACATGCATCAAGGAGCTCATCTAGGCTAATCCCCATTTTCACCTGACCGTCTCAAACTGACCAAACGTTTTACAAAACGTACTGATGCAAACATTTGCATCCGATTACCGACCACGACTTCCCATGAAACTATTAGGCCAGCTACCCGAATTCTTAGTCTCTTCTCCCACCTGACTTTAAAGCTTTATTCCTTGTTGCGTTTTTAGACACAAAACTCCCCCAACCAATCAGTTACTGACTCACTCCTTTAAGGACACAGGCGGAATTTTATCTCTGATCCAAACCCGCCAACAAGTGCCATGTCCACCATCCATCCACCAGGCCAGGCCGGCCCCCGCACCTCGGGTGGGCACACACCCTGCGGGGCCCGGCCCGCCTGCGGCCACCGCACCCCCAGGAAGCGCTCACGAACCACGGCACTTTAAGAGCTGCCGAACCCCCAGAGAGCCCGGGCTTTGCTCTGAGAGACGCTCGTTTCTAGGCACCAGGGGGCGGGTGTCCTAGAGGTTTAAAGAGGCCCCGCCCAGGCCGCTTCTACATCCAGAGCCCAAAGATTCTCTCCAGAAATCCTCACCGTTCTTAGACTAGGGGAACCGACCATTTCTCAGGTGGAGGAACGAGGCACCAACGAAAGCCCGGGCCTCTGGCATAAAAGCCGCCGACCCTACTGGAAACCAGAGCCCACAGACGAACAAGGACCCCGGGCGCCTGCCTAACCGCCCCTCCACAGATTGAGCCCTAGCCCCGATCTCGCGAGATTTCTCCTCACGGATCTCAGGCTGAAATCTCGCGGCCTCTCAGGGGTCTGGGGGGTGGTTCAGGAGCGGGCGGCTTCCAACCTGCAGACCTCGACCCACCCTGGGCCCACCCCCGCCCGTTTGAGAGAACACTCCGCTAGGATGCCTAAAACTTCCGGTGCCTGGCAGGAACCGGAAGCACCTGAACTGGGGGGGGGTGGAGGAGGAGCAGGAGGCGGGGCCTAAAAGTCAAAAAAGCGCGGTGAAAGCTGGGCCTCTGAGCGGACCTGAGGTGGTGGGTGACTCTCCAGCCGCGGCCGCGGCCCTTTCCGATGGACTCCACCGCCTGCCTCAAGTCTTTGCTTCTGACTATCAGTCAGTACAAAGCCGTTAAATCAGAGGCCAATGCCACGCAGCTTCTGCGACATTTGGAGGTGAGGGATTCCGGGTTCTGGCCAGACTAGCTTCAGCGACTCGTCGACGTCCATTCTCGGGAGGGCCGGGGGAGGGCCGGGGCCGCCCGGGACGCCCCAAGCCGGAGGAGAGCCACGGCCCTGCTGCTCGCCCCCGGCCCGGGAGGGACGTGGCCGCCCTGGACTCCCTAAGCCGCGGAGATCCAGGGCCGCCCTGGACGCCCCACGCCCGGGAGAGACGGGCCCGTGCTGGTCGCTCCCAGCTGTCTTCTTGAACTGTCGAAGACCCGGGAGTCGCGAGTGGCCGAGCGCCCACCCAGGCCGGGACGAGGGTGGGGGACACTGAGGACCGGGAAGTGTGGGCTGCATGCACTCGCCTTCCTCCGCTCCTTGTTTTGCTTATTGACAGTGTACAGTTGTGCTCGGTTTTGCCCTAAAGAAATAACCTCAGCGCTGGTTGCCTGTGAACTGGGTTCCCTGTGTTGAATTCGAACGTGAAGTTGTCATTCCAGCTTTCTTTGAATTAGGAAGCCACCACCCTCAATAGCTCACTGTGCACCTGATCCTATAACATGTTGTTTATCTAAATGAACTCCAAGAAGTGGGAACAAGAGGTGTTTTTTTTAAATTGTTTTATTTGCGGTTCTTTTTGTTCTCTTTAGTTTTTTTTTTCTCTTTTGTAGCTGTTTTTGATTTCTGTACCCTTTGTCTTATAAGTAAGTTTATCTAATTTGGGGAAGGGAAGAGGCACAGAAGTGGTGGGACAAAAGGCGAACTAATTCAGCAGCGATATTTATTAGTCACTATGTAGGAAAAGAAAACTGGGAGAAAAGGAAGGGATGACACTATTTTTTTTAATGTACTCATTACCCGAGTTATGTAACTGTAACCTCTCTGTGCATCACCTTTACAATGAAAAAAAGCAACCATCTTTGCTAGTAACCGTAATCTTTTCGATTTGCCAAAATATTTCCTTGACAGTTTCAAATTAAATAATTAAATAGGGAGAAAAATTATTCCTTGTGATTTTTTCCCCTTGATTTAGACTGTTAGGCTGTTAATCATTTGCTGTCATTTCTCAGGTGTTCCTGGGATTCAAACTATCATAAACTTCGGTGTCATAAAAAAAAATAAGCCCAGGAAAAATTACATCTATTCTCTCCCTCATTTCCCTCTCTCAGTATTAAACAGATTCTCTCCCTCATTTTCCTCTCTCAGTATTAAACAGGATGTTGAAATACATTCGACTTGTTACATCGACCCTATGACAAAAACTAGTATATCAAAAACAGTCAAAAGAGTTCTACAAAGATTACTTTGTTTATTGTACATCAGTCTTCAGGGAAAGGAATATAATTTTTTATATTTATTCTCTTAAGCTTTTTGGTGCTTTTACTACTATAGGGGCCCATCTCCTAAGAACATTTTTCCCCCTCTTTTCACTTATTACCTTGTTAAAGGCCCTCAAGCCGTAAGGTGTTAGCTGCTGCATTTTTAAGGCTTTGCATCTCTATTAGGATAGATACACCATGTGAACTCCAGAAAGCAAGAGATAAGCAGAACCTTCAGTTTTAGGAATTAAACCCTTTAACACTTTGAAACATTCCCTTTCTTTGAAAACAGTTTTATTTGTATTTCTAATGGTGAGAACAACTTCTGAGGATACAGAAATGGTTATTGTGTGAAAAGAGATATTTTCATTCTTTTGAACTTGTGCTTCTAAACTCCGTCTGTAGCCTTGGCTGCCTTATGTTTGGTAGAGCTAGGCTGAGCTAATTTGTTTCTTGATAATGGTGTTTGACTGCACTAAACTTGAGACTTGTGATTGAAAATTTAGTGATTAAAAACATAGATTGAGAAAAAAGACTGCCTGCATAGCAATCCCAGTTGTGCTCCTGTATTGTGGCCTCAATTAACTCATGTATAAACAAAATAGTAGTACTCATCTTACAGAGCTATGAAGGTGAAAGGAAGTAACGTAAAGTATTTCATTCAAGGCTACAGTAAGTTGCATTAAAATAATTATTATTGTGATAAATTATATTTGCATTAAGATATTGTAAGTAAAAGGAAAAATTGTAAAGCAGTTTAAAACTTTATTCTATTTTTATAATTACTACACATTATATAATAACATATATGAAATACTAATTATTATGTTTACTATGTACCTTATTAGGTATAGTCCTGTAGAGAAATCATATATAAAACAGAAACTGTTTAAATCATGTGGTGAGCTACATGTACAATAGGCAAAAGAGCAATGTTCAGGAGGCTCACTTTGGTTTACTACCCCAAATATCTATTAGTGTCTGTAATTTCATCTGCTGAGTTAATGTTTAGTCTTAAACTCTCTTACTTAACAATATTACTAAAACATGTAGTACTTAACACTAATGCTTCAGATTCATAGAAGAAAAATTAAGAATGAGAGAACAGAAGAGAACTAGAAAAGGAAAGATCAGAAGAATGCTAAAACAGTTTGCTTAGTCCTGACCTTTTAAAATATGCATTTACAGCAGATTTATTGTAATTCTAAAATAAACTCTCTACCATTTTTGTAGAAAAAGATAATAATTCAGTATAAAACATTTGTAAAATTCATAGTAATTGTCAACTGTTTTTGCCCTTTTTAAATTTTTATTTTTTTATGACACGGGGGTTTGAACTCAGAGGCTGCACTTGCCACATGAGGCATTCCTCCAAACCCTTTTTGCCTTTATTTATTTTTCATATAGGGTCTCACTTTTTGCCTGGGGTCAGCCACAGACTGAGATCTTCCTACTTCTTCAGACTGGGATTACAGGCAAGCATCAATATACCTGGCTCTGGTTTTTACTTTGGTTTTTTTGTTGTTGTTGTTGGTTTTTTTTCTTTTTTAACTTTCCTCTTCTTTCTGTCTCTCATCTCTCCCCTCTCCTGGAATTTTAAAAATATTACTTATAGCTTATCCTGGCTACATTTTTAAAACTAGATTACTTTTATATTTTTTCTCCATAATCTCATAGTTGTTGAACTCATTCCTTCAGAAGGAGCTGTCATATAGTTATCCTTTAGGATTCTTATTCTTTTCCTCAAAGAAGGTGAAATGAATGAGTACATTAGAATTCATTTTTAAAATAAACATTGGCTCTAGTGAATTTTTCTTTTTTACACTATTAGTAGGGCTTGAATTCAGGACATAGTGCTTTATCACTTTGAGCCACAACTCCACTTTTGGCGCTTTTTTTTTGATGGCTAATTGGCTGGAGGAAAGGAATGTAAACTGAAATCCAAGTGTTTAATTAGAAAGGGAGTAATTAAGTAATCTAGAAAAAGATTGTGTGAATTTTCTAAAACTGACAGTACCACTTTGGAAAAAAACTGAATTTTTTATTTGCAATACAGAAGTAAATTTCCAACTTTAACACATTTTAATGATCATTTTACAGGTAATTTCTGGACAAAAGCTCACACGACTGTTTACATCAAATCAGATTTTACCAAGTGAATGCTTGAGTTGCCTTGTAGAGCTACTTGAAGATCCAAATATAAGTGCTTCACTCATCTTAAGTATTATCAGTTTGCTGTCTCAACTAGGTAAGGTACTTGGTGGCTTTTGGTGTGTTTTTTTTTTATCAGATTTTGGAAGATTCTAAATTAAATATTTTTAAAAATTCTGATTTAGTTATAGAATCTGTTGGTTATTCACATTTAAGAGATTTCTAAAGTGCTGAACTTTTAAGCATTATTCAAGTTTCAAAATCTACATATCATGAGTCTCTTAAGATATGGTAATATTATATATGTCGTTAATTAAAATTATTCAACGAATCCAGTGTATACCAAAGATTCCATGTTCTATAGAACAGAATGTACTGTAGAAAATACTGCGCTACTTTTGAATTTTAAAACAAAACTATGTACATGGAATATCAGTATTACATGTTCCAGTCAGCAAATCATAACTATTAATTAAGAGATTACCTTTCTGTGATAAACTACATTGAAGTTATACATAAAGATTGTTTTTTATTTTTATCATGATTAGTTTTTATATGTCCACTAAATAGTCCCCTTTATGATTTTCCCTTTTGATTTCTGTGCAAAGAGGAGTGAAATATGTGTGTAGTTACAATATTAATATATAATTAATGTAAAAAATAATCTAGAAGGATTAATCTAGAGCAGCATTTCTCAATTCAGTAATAGAGAGAGGAACTTTGTAAATCTGTGTTTTCCAATAGAGGAGTCATATATAGCTAAAAAGCATATCAAGTATTAGAAAATACCAAAGAACTAAAGCTTTAGTATTAAATAATCTAAATTTAAATAGCCACTCATATCTACTAAATTATCTAGCACAGGTACAGAGGACAAAATAACATGACCCTGGATTTTCTGTTAATTTTTTTTTCCTGCACAGGAGTTTTAGCTTTGGGCTGGTAGTTGTTAAACAGGCTTACTGTTTCTTGAGCCAAGTCGGTGGTGCTTTTTGTTATTTTTCAGGTAGGGTATGATATTTAACCAGCACCAGTACAATCTTCATCCTTATGGACTTCAGTGGAATAGAGGCACTGGCTATCCCTTGATTATTGTTAGATTTGGGCTTTTCCTAACTTTTACCCTGAGCTGGACTCATAATCTGACTCCCATGTAGGTGGGTTACAAGCCTATGACAGAAGTGCCATTATGAGCCATTATTTACATTGCCATCAACCTTCCTCATCATTTTTATTTGGAAGATAAAATGTCATTTAATGGTTTGGTACACATTCTTCCAGACACTTTTTTCAAAAACTACTAGTTTTTGATCTTTGGTTGGTTGATTTTAGTACAAATAATTAAGTGGTATCAAGAACTAGAGATTTATTCTCATATCACTATCTTTACTAGTAGGGAATGTCATTTATTCAACCATTCTCCTACTGTTTTTTCCATGAACATTTTTTTCAATGAACATTTTTATGTTTCTGTTTGATAAATTTCCCATAAAACTTGCAGATCATTTTAAAATTTGGTAGCCATTATAGATATTTCTTTCTAAAAATTGCTTTCTACAAACTTTTTCTTTCAACAAACTTCCAAGAGTGGATATTAGTCACTTCCAACCTTAAATATATTTAAAAATTAGATTAATTTTAAATTAATTTGTTTTTTTATTTAGGTAATAAACTGTATGTTGTAAAAGCATCAAGGTTTATTAAAAAATAAAGTCAAAGTAGTAATATTGGTTTGTTTAGCCAGGATCTTACTATACGTCTAGGCTTACGTCCTGCCTCAGGTTCCTGAGGGCTAGGATTATAAGTATGCACAGTAGTGCTCAGATGTAATCTTTTAAAAACAAAATTTCTACAAATAAACTAAAGCAAGTTTTTTTTTCTCTTTTAGTCTACATAGAAAAATCACTTGAATGTATGAATAGAGAGCAGTAATAAAATGCTTGTATTTTCATAATACTTTATTTTCCTTAAGTATAAATGAGTTAAAATTATTTCCTTTTTGTTTATGAAGACCATATATAAAAATGATATTTCTGTCATTTTATTTTTCTTAAAGCTGTAGACAATGAAACGAGAGACTGCCTTCAGAATACATACAATCTGAATATTGTACTAGCAGGAGTAGTTTGTCGGAGCAGCACTTGCCACAGTGATTCAGTATTTTTGCAGGTATACAGACTCATAGTACACTATCACTTTTCATCTGTTCCTCTTTCCTTATTTTTAGATTTAAATTGATAATATTTTTTTACAAACTACTAACTTACAGTGTGTATGATGGTATCCCATGACATGAGATAGGCACCATTTTTAATCACTAAATATGGGTTGGATACAGAGTACTCTTTAAAACTTTGTGGGGAAGGAAATATCACCCATACTGCACCATTGTTGATTAAAACAGATCAAATTCCTAACCATTTTAACTCATAAACACATATGTCTATATTTTGTAAACTATTCATATCAAAGTTGTAATTAACATCTTGTCTCAATCCATTGAAGAAATAGTCTACAAATATTAAAGCTATGTTTATAGCGTTAGTACCAAGGCTTGAACCCAGGGCCTATGTACTGCCCCTTGGCTCAAGATAGTCATTCTACCACCTGAGCCATCTCTATTTCCTATTTGTTTATCTCCATTTCCTATTTTGTTTAGTGTAAATTAAAAGCTCTTATGTCAAGTTGAGTCTAAAATGTAATCACTTTGGAGAAAAATGTTACCTGGGCGCTGGTAGCTCACACCTGTAATCCTAGCTACTGAGGAGGCTGAGATCTGAGAACTGCTGTACAAAGCCACCCCCAGGCAGGAAAGTCCAAATAAACCACTAAGAAAACTGGAAGTGGCACTGTGGCTCAAGTGGTAGAGCACTAGCCATGAGCTGAAGAGATGAGGGACAGCACCCAGGCCCAGATTTCAAGCCTCATGATCGACAAAGAAAAAGAAAAATGTTACCAGTAACATACAATCTTAGAGATGTTAGAATATTTTAACATTAAGTTTATTTTAACATTCAAGTTTCACATCATTAAGTGAACAGGGGTGATGACCATATTAATCAGCTTTGTGTTGCTGTATCTAAGTACCTGAGGAATTTCAGTTTACTCACAATTTTGGAGGTTCGTAACTATGGTGTCAGTTCTGAAAATGCCCCTCTGGATGTAGTCACATCATGGCAGATAGAACTAATAGGAGAATAATCAGATTTTGAACCAGGAACAAATCAGACCAGGTTTGTTTCTTGGGAAGTATTTTATGCTTCCCTTGGTCTCTGGATCTTTTTTTTGGGGGGGGGGTCCGGTTGTGAGGCCTGAACTCTGGGCCTGGGCGCTGTCCCTCAGCTCTTCAGCTCAAGGCTAGCGCTCTACCACTTGAGCCACAGCGCCACTTCCGGCTTTTTTCATTTTGCTTATGTGGTGCTCAGGAATGGAACCCAGGGCCTCATGCATGCAAGGCAAGCGCTCTACCACTGAGCCACCTTCCCAGCCCGGTCTCTGGATTTTATAGAGGTTCCATCATTTCCACATAACCTTACCCTGTGAGTTAAGCCCTTAATCAAAGTAAACCCTTGACTGGACACAATTGAGCCACATTCAAGCCATTGCAATGACTACTATGTTTGAGATAGAGTGTGTGGAAATGTGACTACAGACAGGAACTCATTCTTGGTACTGCTTTGTATGCGATTAGAAAAGCTAACTCAAGAAGTAGCATAGTTCTTGCCCTAAACTTTGCCTTCTAAAATGGTAACATGCGGAAAATATTTATAGTAGTTCATATTTGTGAACAAGCAGTATTTTTTCATATATTTATAATTCTTTTCTTATTCTCAGTGCATTCAACTCTTGCAGAGGTTGACTTATAATGTCAAAATTTTCCATTCTGGTTCCAATATAGATGACTTAATTACATTCCTGATAGATCATATGTGAGTATGCAATCAAGTTTATAATCAGATAATTTAGTGATTGATTTCTAAACTAAGATCATGTGATAGATAAATTCTTACATAAATGTTTTTTAATTTATTAAAAAGTTACTCCTTTTAGATGATTTCAAGGATATGCTTTTGCTAAGTAACTTTAATTTTGTAACTACTATTGATGAAACAAAAAGATTATGGCAGAAAAGACATGAAAATGAATAAGATAATTTGGTTTCAAACATGAAATATGCATTATTATTTAGGGTATGTTTGTCTTCAAATGCTAGACTTCTTTTGTATATAATTTAAATTACTATGTCATTTTGATTGATTTAGAATAAACTTAATACCTTTTGTCTTTTATTTTTCTTTAAATACACCACCAATGTAAAATAAGTCAATCCTCTGAAGATGAATTAACAATGCCTTGTCTGGGATTACTGGCAAATCTTTGTCGGCATAATCTTTCTGTTCAAACACACATAAAGACTTTGGTAAGAAGTTTACTTATTTTATGGTTTTCCTTTTGTTTTGGTTTATAGTGGATTTTATGATTAAGAAAATTTGTATTATTTTCTTTAAAAACTTACGACCTTTCAGCTGACTCATAAAAAGCAATGCAGAGACTGCCCTGTAAGTAACTTGCATTCCTATTGAAGACTGTAAGAGTTATTACAAAGTGTTTTCTAAAACTTTTCCCTCTCTGTAACATCCCATTATTCATCACAAATAGTCATATTAGAATTGCTAAGCTATTGTATACCTAATAAAAGGTAAGCATGCCATTGGCGGTCTCATTTTTGTCATCCTTGTGTTTTCACAGTTAGCGGTACAACTCTTCTAGAAAGACTCATGAACAAGTATCTAGTTTCAAATTCTAGTACTTGCAAGTCAGGGCATCCAAATGAGCTTAAGTGAGCCAGCTGTGCAGTATATAGAATTTAAATATTATTTAATTTGTTGTACTGATTTTTTTTCTGACCTTGTCTTATTTTCAGATGGAGCCTATTTTGTGCCAGGGAAGTGTTTGAAAGGGTTTATAGAAAGGAAGAGAGTTGTGTGTGGGAAGGGGTATGGACATGTATTTTTTCTTACTGAAAAAAAAAATGCCTATTTAGAAAACTTTAAATATAACAAAGAATAAGTATTTGTTCATTATTACCTATCTATACTAGAGTCAGTAATATATGAAAGCAGCTGTGTTACACACTGAATTGGTGTCTTCAGCCCATATTGTGAAAAGTAGCTTCTGCCTCAAAATGTATAGAACAAGGCACTCTAATTGACTGAACCATTTCTTCCTTCTTTCACCATAAAGTTCCTCTGTACAGTTTTTTATTTTTATTTTTTTTGTTATAACACGTATATTTTTATATGTTTTGTTTTCTCTGTGATAGAGTTTGAACTTGGACTTTCATACTTTCTAAGCTTGAGCCCTTTTGGGTTTTGAAGTTTTTGTTTTAGTTTTTTGTTTTTTGGCTTTCATTATTTTTCAGGTAGGATTTATAGATTTCCTAGGGCTAGCCTTTACCATGATCCTCCTACTTATGCATCCTTGTAGCTGCGATCACAGATATATACCACCATACCCACCTTATTTTGGCTGGGCTATCCCCTTCTTATTATCTCTACCTCCCAAGTAGCTGGAATTACAGGTATAAACCACCTTACCCAGCTTAAATATTAAAGCTTTTGCTGCAATGTTTAAATAAGCACTCTTTCTCTATTCTGAATGTTGATACCATGACAACTGTGAAATATTTATTGCAAAATGAGACAACTTAGTAAAAAGTTACCTTTTATTTGGACACATTTATCATAGCCATTTTCTTTTTCTAGGTTTAATATGTGAAAAGTATTGTGAAAAGTAGCTTCTGCCTCAAAATGTATAGAACAAGGCACTCTAATTGACTGAACCATTTCTTCCTTCTTTCACCATAAAGTTCCTCTGTACAGTTTATTTTTATTTTTTTGTTATAACATGTATATTTTTATGTTTTGTTTTCTCTGTGATGGAGTTTGAACTTGGACTTTCATATGTTTAATATGTATGTTTATATGTATAATGCATGCATCTTGATCAGAGTCAACCCTTACCAGTCTTAATGCTTCCTTCTTCCATTTTCTTTTTTTTATATTTCATTTTATTATAAAGATACTGTACAGAGGGGTTACAGTTACATGAGGAAAGTAATGAGCACATTCTTGTTGGGCATTGTTTACTTCCATTTTCATATAGGTACAACAATCATTTGTTTAGAAGAGTTGATGGTTAATGATCTTATCTATTATATACAGTACATACTTTTTAAATCATAATATAAAACATAATTTTTTCTAATTTTTTTCCCTCAGAACAATGTGAAATCCTTTTATCGAACTCTTATTACATTTCTAGCTCATAGTAGCTTAACTGTGGTTGTGTTTGCACTTTCAATATTGTCCAGTTTGACACTAAATGAAGAGGTAGGAGAAAAGGTAAATGATTTTTTTTCTATTTAAAGTTAATTTGAAGTTTAAAGATTATTGAAGTTTTTTAAATATAGAATGGTATCATTCACATTTTATGTATAATACATTTTTTCAAATTTTCTTTTAAGCTCTTCCATGCTCGAAACATTCATCAAACTTTTCAGTTAATATTTAATATTCTCATAAATGGTGATGGTACCCTAACACGAAAGTATTCAGTTGACCTATTAATGGATCTCCTTAAGAATCCTAAAATTGCCGATTATCTTACCAGGTATGACTCACTTCAGCAAACTTAGAAATGTTCCGTTATTTTTTTTTTTTTAAGCTAAGCTATGAATTGGAATGTTGTAATGGTTTTATTCCCATTCTCTTTCTTTTATTATTATTATTATTTTATTGTGAAAATACTGTACAGAGGGGTTTCAATTACATGGGCAAGATAATGAGCACATTTCTTATCAAGCATTGTAGCCTCCTCCTTTGTTTCCCCTTCCCATCTTCCCCCCACCTCCCCAAACCTCCCCTCCCACTCTTTTCTTTTCCTGAACTGAAACACTAAAATGTAACTTTAAGGGTGCTTGAATGTGTGTGTGTGCACAGTTAAGTCTTAGATTAATAGGATTGTATCATTCTATAAAATGTAGACATCTTGAGATCAACTAATATTTTTTTTCCAAAAAACTTATGATTTTTTGCATCTCAAGTTAAATTTTCCCATTGCCTAACCTACATTGTAGTCCTAAATTATAGAACTACTGAAGTAGTTTCAAAGAGTTAAATTGACTCATTATTCACGAAGAAAAACGTTTACTGAACTTCTACTATCATGAGATTACTGGGAGAGAATGGAGTCTTGGCAGTATGAGAATGTAAAAGTAGTTCTTAATAGTTAAGAAAGAGCATCAAAGCTTAAAAAATAAAGCTAAGGACAAGGGCAGAATTAACCACTATGGTATAGGTAATTAAAATATTACAAAATCAAGGAGTAACACTATCATTTCACTTCTTTTATCTGTTCCATCTTTCTGTGAGCTTCACACTACCCATGAATGTCTATCCTGGCTGCCAAGATAGTGCTAAAAAGCTTTGAATTAGACTGAATTTTTTTTTTAACAAACCCGGGTAATTCTAACATACAGAAAAGCATGAAACAAGCCTCTTTTTTTTTTTTTTCCCTTGTTGTGGGGTTTGAACTTTAGGCCTGGGTACTGACCCTCAGCTTTTCAGCTCAAGGCAAGCGCTCTACCACTTGAGGCAAAGCACCACTTCCAGTTTTCTGGTGGTTAATTGGAAATAATAGTCTCACAGCCTTTCCTGCCTGGGCTGACTTTGAACTGTGAACCTCAGATCTAAGCCCCCTGAGTAGCTAGGATTACAGGTGTAAGCCACTGGTGCCTGCCTGTCTCTTTCCTTTTACTTATAAATATATGCAACTTTCAAGTCTTTAAAAGTATTTTTTTTATTGCTTTAAAAATGAGTATCCTAATTTTAACTCCAAACCAGAATCTTGGCAACCTCTCAACTCCCAACTTCCCATAAGACTCAAGTCTGGTAAGCCTCACCTAATCAAGTCTTCTCTGCCAAATGTAGGTTGGATAATCATCTTTGGTTCTATAGCATCCAATATGTTAATCCATTTTATAATTTTCTATTTTTCTTTCCATTGTGCTATCACTTTCTTTCTCTCTGTTTCCATCATTAAATTCTTAGCTCTGTTTCAACGTATTCTGATTCTATGATGCACTAGTCATATAGAAAATAACGTGAATGGTACCTCTTAGGGTTGTATAGCATGGTTGTGGCTGCTTCTATGTTTAAAAAGCCTAATTTCTGAGAACATTGAGGGAGTGACACAGATCATGATGCATTGTATTCATAAACTGCTTTGTGATAAGGCACTTTCTTTGTACAACTACTTCAAGATAATTTAAAAAACAGTTTTTAAAGACCCTGCTTTAATACTTGACAATTTTAGGTTTTTTTTATATAAGTAAGTAACTATGTATTCCTGTACCCTTGAATTTTTTAAAAAATTGAACACAGTCTGTTAAAACATATGACAGTTGATATACTAAAAACTCCAAGATGTAATTTATTGTCACCTGAGTAATTGTGCTTTCGTAAGTAAATAAGCTACTTTATGTATAACATGGTGGTAAAATACATTCCAGAATTAAATACAGATAGTTCCCAACTTCATGAACTTTCAGCTTTACAAAAAAATGATGCAAATGCCATACACATTTAGCAGTAACTGTGCTTCAAATAGAATTTTGATCTTCTGGGCTAGTGATACATAGTACAATACTTTCACTGATGGGCAGTGACCGTGGCTAGCACCTTCCAGCTAGCCATGGATTGTGATGATCAGTAGATTAACTAAATCCATTTGTTATATCAGTTTTGTAATTAACATTTTATGATATACCTTTTTATTTTAAACCTAGATATGAACACTTTTCATCATGTCTTAATCAAGTATTAGGTCTTCTTAATGGAAAAGATCCTGATTCTTCTTCAAAGGTATGTAAAACCATGATAATTTATTTTACAATCTTAAAAAACTAGTGTGCAGAAAAGTTTTTTAACTGCACTGCTCTCTGAATATTACAAACCAAACACAATTGTATGACCTATATTGAGATCAGAATCCTCTACATCCCTACTGATGCTTCCTTTTAATCAACACCTACCCTTTTCTGACCTCTTCTGTTACAAAGATAAATGCTATGCTGACTTCTAACAACATGTAGCTTTGTTCTAAGTCTAAATTTTGGTAAGTGAAGTCATATGTAATCTTTTGGGTGTCTTAAAAACAAAATACTTTTTTCAACATTAGGATGTGAAATTCACCTGTGTTTAGATAGTTTTAGATAGTTCTTTTGTTTATGAATATTGGCTATTAAGAATATTTATTTTTTCCTACTTGCCTTGGTAAGCTTATGAATACGTTGTTTTACTTGTCAGTATTAGGTATTTCCAGATTATTTAGTCATTCCAATGTTTAAAATTAGTATTGCATTACAGCTAAAGCTTACATTTCCTTAACTATAACTAATGGTTCATACTTTTTCACATTCATTAACTGTTTTGCATCTGAAATATTTAGGAGTATTTTTGATAGACTTTTATAGATAGTTAAATATAAATATTTGAGTTATATATGTTACATAATTCATTATATTTTGTGCAATTATCTTCTGAGTTGCTTTTGTTACTCGTTTAATGTTGTCTTGATTTTAATAGAGCTTAATGTCTGTTTTAATAATACTTTTTTTTGTTTTATTTTTGGTAGTATTGAGGTTTAGACTCAGGGCCTTGAGTCAGAATGATCCTAGATTTAATTAATCCTTTTTATATCTGATTTAAGAAATCTAGATGTACTCCAAAGCTAAAAAAATGAGCTCCTATGTTTTATGGTAACTTTTCTATGTAGAACTGTAATCCATCTAGAATTCAGTTTATGTCTGATATGAAGTCGGACTGTTGTTTCAGGCTAAACTTTCATCTGACAATATTCACAGAAGGGAAAAAATTACAAATTTTAGAAAAGTTGTGAATTATCAGAAACAGTGAGTCTGGCTTCTGTAGAGAATTTAAAATAGTACAAAGTTTATTACTTGACAGTGTTTCACTTTTGTGTGTATGTTTTTATATCTTTGCTCTTGCTCATTTATTGTTTTCCAAGAGTTCTTTCTGGATTATTTTCATTAGGTGAAGTACTCAGATGATATGTCTTGGATATTTTGAACTCTAGGACCTAAAATTAAAATGAGAATTATTCCTAATCTGAATTAAGTTTGATAGAATACTGTAAATTTATACTCAATGATAAGTAAGGATTCTTGGAATTGAAGAAATATAGCAGAAGCTAATTAATCTAAAGAAAGTAAACTATATCAGAAAATTAGGAGGTCGATTAGAACATGAAGTAGAAACTTTACAGAGGTGTTAGAAAGCCTGAAAGAGAATGAAGACGTCAGAGTAATTTAAAAAAATCTTACTATGATAGAAGTAGAGAATAGTAGAAGCAATAATCCAGTAGTTGGCTCATTTACTTCTTATAATGGACATAAATGTTTGATTTTAATATCAGTATAACCTTGGTTGACAAGATTAGTGTGAAAAAATATATCAATATAATTCATAGTAATTCATAATTACATAAAAAATCAAAATCCTAAACTAAATCCAGTGATATTTAAGAGAATTACATTCATTTGCTAAATAGATTTAATCCAAGAATACAAAGGTGTTTTAACATGATAAAATTTAAAGGTGTGTTAACATGATAAAATTTAATATTTATTCAAGGTAAAGATTGACTAGGAAAAACCAGACCCTTTTTTCACTGGTCAAATAACTACTAAAAAATCTACTGCATTCTTATTCTTCTTGGCAAATTAGGAGAACTTATCTTCAGATTAAGTATAAGACAGAATAGACATGATCACCATTTGTGTTTGAATTTATGGTGTCAGCCAACCTAGTAAGACAAGAAAAGTGAAATATACAAGAATTAGGAAAGAAGATGTAAAACTCACTATTCAGAGAGCATTGTGAGTATAGAATATCTAAAATCTGTAGAAACTTGTTAATTTAACAACTGGCTGACTGTATGTATAATTATATTTTATTTATATTTTTAGGACCACTAAATAGATGAATTTTTCTTTTTTTGTTGCCATTTAACTGATTTTTTTTTTTTAAGTCAAGTGGTTAGGGCAGAAATCCAACAGAACATATATAAAGCCTCCATTGTGAAACTATAAAACATTGAGAGAACCAGAAAATCCTTTAAGTATGTGCAGATATTTATATATCTGCATATATATATATATATATATATATGGAAAATTTACAATATTTAGTCAATCAAAATTCAGCAAATTTTATTTTGTTCGTTTTTGGTTGGGTTTGGCTTAGTCTTTGTCTATATGTCTGTTTGATTTTCAATGCAGGGCCTCATGCATATTGAGAAAGCACTTTACACTTGTACTCAATCTACCCAACTCCACTTTTATTTCTTATTTTATAGTATGCTTTATGTTAATTTTTCACTTTAGGATATGGCATGTATTTGAAGTCCTAAATTAATTTTTTTAGATATTATTTCATTTTAAAAACTGTGTTTTTAATTACTACAAAAGAAAATTAGTAGTTAAAATGTACAACAGTTTTAGATTTATCATTTGTATATTAATGTCTAGTAAAATTGGATTTAATGATAACTTTATGTTGTACAGGTTTTAGAGTTACTTCTTGCCTTCTGTTCAGTAACTCAGCTGCGTCATGTTCTAAGTCAGATTATGTTTGAACAATCTTCCTCTGGCAACAGCATTGTGGGAAGCCGTTCTAAGTCCTTAGAACCTACTGTGGCTCTTCTTCGTTGGTTAAGCCAACCCTTGGATGGGTCAGAAAACTGTTCTGTCTTAACACTGGAGTTGTTCAAGGAACTATTTGAGGTAATAGGATAGTAGAAAATTGACTCTTCTACTTTTACAACTCTTTAGTTAACATTTTTCATAAAAAGCTTGTTTTATGTTTTTAAAAACACCCATAATAAATTTCCAATTCTTCATACAAAGGAAAATTGCTCATATTAACTGTTGAACTCAACTGTCATTTAGCTACCGCTAAAATCATATATGTTAGTGTTTTCCCTTATTTTGTTGTATAGTTTATATATATATTGGTTTCTGGAGAGTAAAAAAAAAAAAAGGTCTTGACAGTATATGTATTGTTGTATGATTATTCTTGCAGTAGTCACATTCCATCTCTATCTCAATAAATGTTGTCTTCTTTTTATTAGCTGTTAAATAGGTTAAGATAAAATGTTGGAATTAAGGGCTAGGAAGTTGGCTCAGTGGTAGAGTGCTTGCCTCGCATGAGGCCCCTAGGTTCCATTCCTCAGCACCACATAAGCAGAAAAAGCCGGAATTGACGCTGTGGCTCAAGTGGTAGGGTGCTAGCCTTGAGCTGAAGAGCTGAGGAACAGTACCCAGGCCCAGAGTTCAAGCCCCACGACCGACAAAAAAAAATGTTGGAATTAGTATATGGGGAGGAAGAGACAATGTGCTAGACCAGGATGAGAAATAACCACAGTCTATAGGATTCTGCCATTTGGGCAATTTTTTACTTGTTTAGCCTACCCACGTCTTCCCTAAAATTATTATATTATTAAATTACACTGAAATTATTTACAAAAATGTTTAAATCACAGTTTTTAAGCATTTTTGCCGTTTCCTTCTCTAGGATGTTATAGATACTGCTAACTGTTCTTTGGCTGACCATTTTGTGACCCTACTGCTACCTGCAGTCCTGGATCAGCTTCAGTTCACAGAACAAAGTCTGGATGAGGCCTTAATAAGAAAAAAATGTGAACGGATGATCAAGGCTATTGAAGTTTTATTAAATATCCTTTACTCTCATAAAAATGGAAACTATACTTCTTCCTTAGTATTGCATTTTATTTCCAATCTTGCCACTTCTCTGTATTTCATATATGTCCAGAAATATTGAACTGAAATTTGAAAATCTCAATGAAGAGTTCAAAAAGTTATCTAGTTTTCGGTGTAAAACTTTAAGCTACATTTTAAGAATTTATTTATTTATTTTTATTTTGTTTATTTTGTCCTTATGATTCAGGAAGCAAGTTCAGGGCTAACACAGCAATCACTAAACCACTGAGAATCTCCCCCAACACAAGAAAAGCTTTTTAAACTTGATTTCAACATTTTTGTCAGTTTGAGAGTTAGAGACATCTAAAATGCCTCTTGTATTATCCTTAGTAATCTTTTCCTTTTAATGCCAGTTAACCACTGTATGATTTGTCCTTCCTGTTTTAGGTAGAGTAAATCAGTGAATAAAAAGTATTTTTAGATTTGTCATGATTTTATCTATTTTCTACCTCATGTTTTAAAAGTAAAATCCCCATGAATATTCTAATAGAGAGGAAATAATGTCATAGTTGATTATAGGAAAGACGAATATATCAACACAAAAAAACTTCTAATGCAGTTAGTTTCACAGCCTCTGTACCCTGATTGATTCTCAGTTCTTTCATGTATTTGCTTTTTCTAGATTACTAATTCTAAGTTGTGGAGATGTCTAAGTTCCAATTTTTAAATATTTCTAGAAATTTTCATCCCTATCCTATTGTGGGCAAGGAGCAATACCATATTGAGATTTCTTAAATTTACCTGGTCACCTTTCCTTGTATCTCAGAGGAACAAAAAGAGGGAGGGCAAACTATTTTTTTACTCTCTTCTTAGTGTCTTTTTTCCATCTAATTGTCCTTTACAGCACTCTTAATCCTGGCTTCATATTAGAATCACCTGGGGAATGAATAAAACAAGATAGACACCAGAATCTTCCACAAATTCTAAAGTGATTGGAACAATCTAAAACCAGGATATTCTTGAAGTGTTTGTGGTGGTGGTTATATGTGGGGGGAGGGGGTATGGGGGGTGTGAATGAATATGATTAATCTACACAGATGATTCTAGCATGTGTGTGTGTGAGTGAATATGATTAATCTACATAGATGAATTCTAACATGCAGCGAAAGTCAGAACCATTGTTTTACAGACATAGGATTTTTCTTTTTCTTTTTTTTTGGGGGGGTCTGGTTGTGGGGCCTGAACTCTGGCCTGGGTGCTGTCCCTCAGCTCTTAGCTCAAGGCTAGCGCTCTACCACTTGAGCCACAATGCCACTTCCAGCTTTTTACTTTTTGCTTAGGTAGTACTGAGGAATCGAACCAAGGGCCTCAGGCATACAAGGCGAGCGCTCTACCACTGAGCCACCTTCCCAGCCCCCACACATAGGATTTTTCTGCTTGACCTTAGTCAGGTCGTTGATCATTGATGGCATCAATACTGGGTTTGAATTCAGATCCTTGCTCTTAATAAGCAGTTGTTCTTACTACAGAGGCACATCTACAGCCCTAATTTTTGCTTATTATTTTTGAGATAGGTCCTGTTTTGGACTTCGCAATAGCTAGGCTAAAAGGTACATGCCACCACTTTACCTAGGCTGGCCTCATACCTTGACCCCAATAAATAACCTCCCAAGTACCTAGTTATAGGTGTGGACCACTGGTAACTGGCCTAACTTGGCCCCTTTTTAACGATACTCATAATGATAGATAATTAATAAAATTTTAGGGAATTCCCTGATTGCAACAAATATTTATTGAAAAGTATGAGTGCTAAAAATGGAACATCCAGTGGTCTTTTCTGGGTGTGTGGTATGAGACCGTTTCTTGACATTCATCGCTGATAATCCTCCATTCCCAGTGTTATAACCTCCCATTCAATAAATATAATTATACTGGGTTACAATTACAATGTTGACTTGTATGAAATTACCCTGCATGTTTAAACTATTACCAAACATAAATTATTTGGAAAATCTTTTTATTTGTAAGTGTAAATCTTAACAAAGCTTACCTCTATGTGGAGATGATACTCTGAAAATGCGTATTGCAGAAACTCTGACTGCTATAAAGTGTACCACTCTGATAGAACAACAATTTACATACGGCAAGATTGACCTGGGATTTGGAACCAAAGTAGCAGATTCTGAATTATGGTGAGTATTCAAAATCTAACTTACAAAGTTATTAAATTAAGTAAAAATTTTTAAATGTAGTTCTGATCTTTTAAGATACCATTCTTTAGTTATGTTCTAGCAGCTCAAGATATAGCCAAGAATTAAACATTGTATGTAATGAATTTTTAAATTAAAAATTATTCAATGTATAGATTGTATACTTCTGAAGAAAGGCTTTAACTGATCTGTTTTATTGTTTGGAATTCTTTGTGTGACTCTGTGTGTGTGACTGTGTGTGTGTGTGTGTGTGTGTGTGTGAGTGTGTGATTTGATCTCTAAATTTTTTTTCCTGGAATTTGCTTTTTTTGTTTGTTTTGTTTCATTTTTTGGCCATTCTCTTGAACTCAGGGGCAGGGTACTTTTCCTGAGCCTCTTTGTGTTCAAGGCTAGTGTTCTATCATTTGAGCCACAGCACCATTTCTGACTTTTTCTCAGTAGTTTATTGAAAGTAAGAGTTTCATGGACTTTTCTCCCTGGGCTGGCTTCGAACTTTGAAGATCACAGCCTCCTTTGTAGCTTAGATTATAGATATGAGCCATCAACATCCAGCTGGAACTTGTTTTTGACATTACTTTAGTAATTTAATTATTTAGTAACTTTCACTTTCAACTTTTAAATGAAAAAAAAAAGAACATTTTTATTATAAGAAAATCCCTGGGGGCTGGGAAGGTGGCTCAGTGGTAGAGCGCTTGCCTTGCATGCCTGAGGCCCTGGGTTAGATTCCTCAGTACCACATAAGCAAAAAGAAAAAAGCCGGAAGTGGCGCTGTGGGTGAGGGACAGTGCCCAGGTCCAGAGTTCAGGTCCCATGACCAGACCTCCCCTCCCCCCCCAAAAAAAGAAAAAAACTGCCAAAATTTTCTTAACAGTAATGGCTTTTTTTTTCCTTAGCATGTCAGGCATTATAAAGGTGGATTTTCATGATAGTAATGAGACATTTTTTATGCTTTTTGAATTAAGTTCATCTAATAAATATTCATTGACACCCTGCTAAGTGTTGGATACCATAATTCCTTCTCATTTCCATAGAGAATGTCATTGTTAATAATTGTGTTTCTCAAGAACAAGGGTTCTTTTTATACTCTGCTTCAGGTACAAAGCATGATATATAACAGCATAATTCATATCATAATTGTTATTTGTTCTTTATTGTTTAATGATATTTTGTGTTGTTAATATTTTAATGTTAAAACTAAGTATTAATGGATCCTTTAATACTTAGTACTCACTTCAGTACTCTTACCTACTTGTGTGTTTTCAGAGTAAAAAAAGGAGCACTAAATAAATGTTAACTGTTGCAGGAAGCTCAGTCCTGTAATCCTTAACTATTCAGGAAGTTTGAGATCTGAAGATTAAGGTTTGAAACTAGCCTGGGCAGGCAAAACCTAGAGACTCTTATCTCCAATTAACTTCAAAAACTTGAACTTTGAGGTTTGGCTCAAGCAGTAGCGTCAGTCATGAAGAAATTAATCAAGCTGAGAGTTCAAGGCTCAGAAACAGCACATACATGTGTATACATACACACACACATACACACAAAACCTTAGACTGTTAATGCTAGTATGCTCTCTTTAGTTTTTGTTGTTGTTGGTGGTGGTAGTGGTAGTGGTGGTCAAGGGGCTTTAACTGGGGGCCTGGGCACTGCCCTCAGCTCTTCAGCTCAAGGAGAGTCCTCCACCACTTGAGCCACAACATTACTCCCAGTTTTCTGGTGGTTAATTGGAGATAAGAGTCAAATGGCTTTCCTGCCTGGGCTGGCTTTGAACCAGATCTCAGCCTCCTGAGTAGATAGGATTACAGGTGTGAGTTGTGGGGTGCCCAGCCTCCCTTTAGTCTTTAGTCTTGAATTCCAAGAATGTTTTTTTATTCTGGTATTTTTTTATTCTCAGCAGAAATAATTTTGTCTTCTTGAATTTTAAAACTAATTTTTTCTTTAGAATTGTAGTTAAAAATATTTTGAGTTTAATTTAAATATTATTTTTCTTAAAGCAAACTTGCTGCTGATGTAATTTTGAAAACTCTTGTTTTGATGAACAAACTTAAACAGTTGGTTCCTGGTATGGAAGTAAGCTTCTACAAAATCCTTCAAGTAAGATTTAAATTTTTATACATTGATGAGTATTCCTTTGTAAGTGGTTTCTAGGAAATTATGCTCTTATATTTTAAATATTTAGACAATGTTTCTCTTAGACTTGTTCATCAGAAGACAGCTGCTACCCTTGTCTTCATTGTACTGTTATTTTACATACTGCTACAAAAACTGAATGTTAAGTATTTCTGATTCCAAGTTATAGAATGTTCATGGTAATATTGTTTTCTCAGCTTTTCCTTCTGTTGAACTTGCAGGTTTGTTCATTTTGTTGGCTTTGGGAAGAGGGTAGTGTTTGCTTTAGAGGTGGTTTTTTTTTTTGATCGAGGTTGTTGAAATAGTATATTAAGTATATAGAAAACATCAGGGCAAAGGACGTGATTGTGAACAACAGTGAGATTAGAGGGACTTTGCAAACATAGCTAACTCACACATTGTATTGATAATTGTTGGATAAGAGGTTTAGATGTTATCAAGACTAACTTGACAGGTTTAGAGATATAATTAACTTGTATTGTTATCCTTTTTTATTATAGTTGTTATTATCTCTGAGGTGCTGGAGCCTAGAGCATGAACCTGTGGCTTGAGCATGCTAGGCAAGTGCTCCTCTGCTGAGCTGTACCCCAACCCTTACTTACTATTCTACAATCTGGAAATTGAATATTAGCAGAGGGAGGTTGACTTTATAAACAGAAAAGAGGCTGAAGAACAAAGCAATGAAACAAAAGTCTATTGATCATTTCAGTTTGTTACTTTATAGGGCTGAAACAGAGGAGACAGATTATGCTGCTACTGTTTTTATTTTTGGAAAACAAATTGGTTATGTGATTCATAGCCAAAATAACTTGATTTGGGTTTGAACTGTTCTTCTGGGGCCTACTTCAGGATTTATTTAACAATGTTTGTTAATAGCTGTAACAGGTTTTTTTAATTAAATATTTTTGTTGAAATACATTCATTTAATAACATGGCACAAATGATTTTAATGAATATATTAACAAGGTAGAAGACAAAACTGAAAACCCTTAGGCAGGGGTCACATGTACAATTTGATAGTGTAATATTTAAAATGGTGTTTCAAGGTTTGTGTACCAGTGACCAGTGAATATAAGTTTTACCTAGTTATTTCTCTTTTTGGACTTCAATTTCACTGCAAATTGCAAATAATGATTCTCTTTTCTGAGAGGAGTTGTAAAGAAAAAGTCCTGCCAAAAATATGTTCTGGTTCTGTGGTGCTGAGTTATATTTGCGTGTGCACAAGAAACAACATTTTAATAATAAAGAAGTGATTATATTAACATTTTCTTTACTAAGAATATGTTTTACAAAGAATTGAGTCCAAAGGCCCCTTTATGTTCATTTATAGACCTTTTCCAAAGAAGATGATATAGATTTTATAGTATTATGTAAAATCTTCATTGACATGAAAGACCTATAAGTTCTTTAAAATATTTAAGACATAGCATAGTTGAAAATATTTAAAACCTTTATTGGATTTATTTTTAAAGCTCATGCTTATAGTGATTGGATCACAGTGTATATAAGAAAGTAAAATGTAATGATTCATTAAAATATGAGACAAGAAACATTTTAGAATTTGCTTTATCCTAGAGACTTGATACTGTTTTTGCCTCTTGTTTTCTGGTTTCTGATTTGCTTAGGATCCACGTTTGATTACTCCGCTGGCTTTTGCTTTGACATCAGATAACAGAGAACAAGTACAGTCTGGATTGGGAATATTATTGGAAGCAGCTCCACTTCCAGATTTTCCTACTTTAGTGTGAGTTGCAATCACTTGCAATATATCTCTTGTACTAAGACATTGTGCTGTGTTTCTTCAGTAACCCTCAACATACCTTAGTAAATTGGTAAAGTGAAGATTTCATTTTATCAGCAAAATGAAATAAAATAGAACTTTGATTCCTGTACCTGAAAAGGCAAGTGTTTATTACCCGAGGGTTACATAGATCAAGGTAGTTAGATGTGTTATCCAGGCACTATTTTTCTCTTTCTCTTAACCACCACTTTTTAATGTAGTAGATTTTTGACACCAAAACTTGTCTTCTACATTTAATTCTTTCTTAGAGAGCATTTTCCTTCCTGAATGTTTTAAGTAAAAAAATCAAATACTACTGTCATTGACCAGCTCTGGGTCATTTGCCAAAGGGATCATCTCTGAAAACTGCATAAGCTGAAAGTTGTGCTTGAAGAATAAAAAGGTCCTTAAAGAAAATTTGTGTTTTTAATCAGTAAACAAAAGATGGTTAGGCAAAATTTTTTATTATAATCATTAATTTCAGATAATAAAAGAATACTTACAATAATACTTGGAAAACACCTCATTTTTTAAGGTAAGACACTAAATGGTTAGCAAAATGTTTACTAGATGTCTATTTTAATAAATTTTTTAAGCTTTAAATGATTTATTTGGGTGAATTTGCAAACATGGTTTGAATAATTTGAAGCAGTTGTAAATAGGTGAGGCATTTACTGTGCCAGAGATCAGCAAGCAGGTCATTGGGCAGGCACATATTTTTGTAAGAGTTTTATTAGAATAAATCCGTACCCATTCATTTTCATATTATCTATATTGTCTGTGGCTGCTTTTCTTCTCAAACAGCCAGATTGAGTTAACTGTAATTTGAACGGTTAACCAAATTGCACTTTTTAAATTTTGAAAATTTAGATGTTCATAAATTCATGAGCATATAATCAGAATTCTCTATATTGTTAACAAAAATGGAAAATAAATAGAAACCTCAGGTTACAACATAGAAATGGTTTATAATGAAGCTATTATATTTTGTGATGGTTTGCTTGCTTCAATTGTATTAGTTTAGCGTGGAAAAGAAAATCTCAAAGAGAAAGCTACAGCCCCTCTGAACATGAGTATGTCATCCTTTGCCCCTGTGGCTAAGGCCTTCCCACCCTTTTCTTGGTATCTTAGCCTTCCTTTTATGTGTTTTAGACCACAGTTTTCTCTATGGTCTACTTATGTTTATTTTTATATGTCATTACTTGATATTGTCTTAAGCAATTTAGTAAGTGAATTTATTGAGGGATAGGTGGATATATAGGTTTTATGTATATAAATTTGCTTGCTTGTTTTAATTGAATATTTAACAATATTTTTAGGGACCATAAGTATGGCTATAGTGGGCTGGCTACCTTCTGGGTATTTTTTGTTATAGCAGCAAATTATACTAAATGCCTGCTCTGGTAAGATTTGTCCTATAGTCAGAGATGAGACAAAGAGGGAAGGAAAGAAGAGGGAGGAGGAGAAGTAAGGAGAGAGGGGAGGAAGGAAGGTAGGAAGATACGGTGCTGTGGGAGAAGGGGGATTAATATTAGCATTACACAGAGCTTAGTAGTGAACTTTCTTAGGAAAGGTGAATTTAAAAGAAAATCTGATGATAAAAAGCAATTTGGTTGGAAGGATGCTTTCTGGTAAAGAAATAGCCCAGGCAAAACCTAGAGGCAGAAGCTAGACTGTCTTTAAAGGGGCACAAGTCAGATTGGTCTTGGAAGTCAGTGGAGGTCAGGTTAGAACTTACTGAGTGAAAAAAGGAAAGAGTAAAGAAGGACATAGACACAGAAACACCTCATGATAAGAAGGCTGCTCTGAACAATACTAGTAGCTTTGTACTTAGTACAAATAATCTTCATCCATAAAAGTAGACTACAGTGTCTCTAAACGAAAGATAGAAATGTCATTATTAAAGAACTGTAAATAGAAAAGGGAGTACTTTGGAAAATTTAGCATATTACCCAAACCATGTGTCATTTTCAAAAATATTTGAAGCTTTATATACCCTTCCACTCCCCCTCGCAAAAAAGAAAGCCCTCATTCTAAAAGATTTCCTAATTTTAATAATAGATTCCCTAATTCTTCAGTGCTCTGCCTTTGGCTTTGTTTTTGTGTTATTTCTTTTTGTTTTTGCTTCCTATTCAGGCTTGGAGAAAGTATAGCAGCAAACAATGCATATAGACAACAAGAAACAGAGCACATGCCCAGGAGAATGCCTTTGCAATCAGTAAATCACAGTTTTGCAGGGTCGTTAAAGTGTATAACACCTCCCCTTTTGAAAGATGTTTCTGGAGTTAATATTGAGGAACTGATAGAGAAACTTCAGTCTGGAGTGATGGTGAGTGGTAACTAACAGTACAGATGGGAGTATGGTTGGCACCCGACAGTTAATTATCTACTCAGATTGTATAACATTTTAGCACCTTTAGAAGGCAAATATAACTGAAATGTTACCTATTACAAGATAGTAATAGAATGGAAAATTTGGCAAGTGTAAGATAAGCCAATCATTACATTCTGTCAGTTTTTAGCATGGCTACTATTGCTTTCTTAGTTTCCTTTCCTCTTACCCTTCCAGCTTTGAAAAATTTTTAAGTGTATTATTTACATACCAAATCTTATCCAGATACTGTTCTGTAGTGGGAAGATTAGGGAAATAACAAATATAGTATTCCTTTGTTGTTGTTGTATATGTTTTGATGATTTAGTTTTGTTATAATTTTCTGATTATTTTATTAAAACCTAGGTAAGGGATCAGATTAAAGATATGAGAATATGTGATATAATGGATGTATATGAGATGAAGCTATCCACATTAGCTGTAAGTAAAAGCTTCTTTTAATTATGTTCAGTAAGCTTTAATAAATATTTTCTTAAAATTATGAAAATTAATTGTTTGTTTTCTTATAGTCCAAAGAAAGCAGATTGCAAGATCTCTTGGAAGCAAAAGCTTTGGCTCTTGCACAGGCTGATAGACTGATTGCTCAGTATCGATGTCAAAGAACTCAAGCTGAGACAGAGGTAGGTACATGATAAATTTATGTCTGATTAGAAGAAAATTTAATAAATGACAAAAGTATGAAAAATATTATTTATCATTCTTAATTGTGCTAAATTGTCATCAGCAATTTGATACAACTGCTTCTTTTTTTTGGGGGGGGTCCTGTCATGGGGCCTGAACTCTGGGCCTGGGTGCTGTCCCTCAGCTCTTCAGCTCAAGGCTAGCACTCTACCACTTGAGCCACAGCGCCACGTCCGGCTTTTTTTTTTTTTTTTTTGCTTATGTGGTGCTGAGGAATCGAACCCAGGGCCTCAGGCATGCAAGGCAAGCGCTCTACCACTGAGCCACATTCCCAGCCCCTACTTCTACTTTTTTTTGTTGTTGTTGTTGCCAGTCCTGGGGCTTGAACTCAGGGCCTAGACTATGTCCCTGAACTCCTTTTGCTCAAGGCTAACACTTTACCACTTGAGCCACAGCACCCCTTCTGGCTTTTTCTATTTATATAGTTCTGAAAAATCAAACCCAGGACTTCATGCATGCTAGGCAAGCACTCTACCACTAAGCCACATTCCCAGCCCCAACTACTTCTACTTTTAAATTATCCTCTTTAATTTTTGTTATGTCATTGTCTTTTGGGTTTTTTTTGCTATTTGATATTTTATACCCTATGTTAACGATCTTCAGGATTTTTTATTAGATTATTATATACTATTTGTTTATGTATTTTGTTATTTCAACCATTACTAAAATACTAATGTTCCCATATTTATATGCACAAATCTTTTTCCCTCACACTAAATGCTTTCCATAATAGCTGCAAAATATTTCAACCTCAGCATAACCAGTAGTAAACTAATCATTCTTCCTCTTTTTAAAATGTCTTCCTAAGTATTTTTTACTATTCTTAGGATTTTCCAAATTAGAAAACTGGAACAAAAATTACCTGTTACATATATTCATAAGTAAATTCCACCTTTCATAAATTCTACCTTCTAAAAGTTTCCTCTTTCTAGTTTGCCCTTACCATTGTTAGTAGCATGCATTTCTAGCCCACAGCTGGACCTCCACCCAGACCTGAACTCCATCCTGCCCTTCACAAAGAAAAGAGAATGCTCCCTGGATAGGTCTGCACACACTTCACCCGGATCTAGCTGCCCACACAGAATACCTCTTGCCTCTAGCCCTGATGTTTTAAGGATGCCCCTAAATAAGAACAGGTGCCATTTTTCTCTCTTCCATGGGGGAGGTGGCCTTGTCAGCCTTGACTGGCTATAAACTTCTTTTCCTATAGGTGACTATCCATGTGTTCTTGTAGGATGGGTGATTTCAACCATTATTACTTTTTTATGCTATTGTAAAGATGCTGTACAGAAGGGTTACAGTTACATGAGTAAGGCAATGAGTGTAATCATTGTTACCATTTCCCTTGTTGTTGGCCATTCTCCCTTCCCTCCCCCTCCTCCCACAGTCCTCCTCACTGACCCTCACCCCTACCCCAAGTTGTTAAAGTTCACTTCCAATATACTGTCCTGTGGGTCTCATTGTGGTAACGGGTCATCCTGTGTCCTTGTTTCATGGTTTTGTTATTCCCCTTCCCTTCCCCAGATTAGACAAATGTATAAGATGCAAGGTACCAAAATCAAGTACAGTGACAACAGAGGATAAACCACAGGGGGAAGAACATACAAAGGAAACAAACAAACAAAATCATCTGGTACATTTAAAACAACAACAACAAAGACAGACCTCTTGTGTCCATATCTTGGGGTTGATTTTACTTAGCATCAACTTATATGGTCATATGTCCATAATCTTTGAGCTTTTCAGCTCATCTGATAAGATTATCCTATATGTATACTAATTATTGCAAATAAGGGAAACCATGTGGCCTAAATTTCTTTGGGCCTGGCTTACTTTATTTAATATGATTTTTTCCAAGTCTTTCCATTTCCTAACAAATGGGGCAGTGTCATTCTTTTTTTTTTTTTTTGTCGGCCGTGGGGCTTGAACTCTGGGCCTGGGCGCTGTCCCTCAGCCCCTCAGCTCAAGGCTAGCGCTCTACCACTTAAGCCACAGCGCCACTTCCGGCTTTTTTCTTTTTGCTTATGTGGTGCTGAGGAATCGAACCCAGGGCCTCAGGCATGCAAGGCAAGCGCTCTACCACTGAGCCACCTTCCCAGCCCCCCATATATTTTCTTTTATTGTTTAACATGACTCATTTTTTTAATCTATTACACCATAAATTACAAGAAAGTTAGATTTTTAGAATTATTTTCTTCTCTCCTCAGAGTACACTGTAATGTTCTGTTATATGCATTGGACATGACATACATTTTAATTGGAGAATATAATGGTTTTCCATGTTGCAGAAAAATTTTTTCAAGAATAACACTAATAGATTTTTGTGTCATCTATGCTATAAAAAGAGTGAGATTAGGTTTTTGTCTGACATTTCTTGTCACTAATTATAGATTATATTCCTTGGTTATGCTAGCTTGATTTTTAAGTGTTAAACATTTACGAGAGACTTTTATTCGTCATTTTTACCTGAAAGGAGAAGACTTGGGTATGCAAACTTATTAGTTTACTATTAATGACCACCACCAAGGACTGTACCCTTTTAGTTAAATAGGACTACTTTATTTTGCAGTTTTGTTCATTTCCACTAATCTGGCCATCCTTAGGTTAACAATCTATTAAATTACAATTGTAGAGTTTAACATCCCTAATTGAAAATGCTTCAACATCTAAAACTTTTTGAGCTCTAACATGACACCACAAGGAGAAAGCTCTACATTATTAAACTTATTTTTATGCGCAACATTGTTAGAAGTATTGTATAAAACTACTTCTTTAACTCATAATACTGAATTGTTGAACATTTGCTAAATGTTTTAAATTGTGGAATATATTATAACATTCTGAATATTCTATATTCTAATGCTATATTCTAGATAGTTTTATCATTCTGCAGGCATCATAGAATCTACAAAGTAATTACTTTTAATATAACTAATAATAATCTTAAGAGACCACCATCAGGTATGCAATCAGTTATTTACCAAAATACTGTTATATGGTGCATAGCTGTATATAAGTAATATTGGGAAAGCCCATGTGCTGTTTTCTTTTAAGGCACGAACACTTGCTGGTATGCTTAGAGATGTTGAGAGAAAAAATGAAGAACTTAGTGTATTACTGAAATCACAACAGCTTGAATCAGAAAGAGCACAGAGTGATATTGAACATCTCTTTCAACATAATAGAAAATTAGAGTCCGTGGCTGAAGAACATGAAATACTGACAAAATCATACATGGAACTTCTTCAGAGGTAAATCAAGTTATTTATAATCAACTGTGACCTGGTATGTAAACTCTTCAAGGAAGGATCTTTTTCTTTGTTGTGGTAACTTACAGATCCTTTTATTTATGCTAGTCCTGTGGCTTGAAATCGGGGTCTAGGCACAGTTCTAATCTCTTTTGCTGAAGATTAGTGCTTTATCACTTGAGCCAGAGCTCCACTCTGCTTTTTAGGTGGTTAATTGGAGATAAGAGTCTCCTCACACAGTCTTTCCTGGCCAGGTTGGCTTCGAACCTTCATCTTCAGGTTTAAGCCTCCTGACTAGAATTACGGGCATGAGCCTCTAGCTCCCAGCCTACAAATCCCTATTTTTATAAATTTTTATAAATGATAAATAATATGATGCATTAACTCTGTTAATTATTGTTGAATGAATTTGTCACCATTAGTCTTATGTTAAACTATATAAAATGGTCATCTTTGCAAGTCAAACTTCTTAACATCAAGTCTAAAAGCACAGATATTTGGTATTAGTATTCAAATCCTCTCAATGTTATGAGATATAATTTATCATTATGACTTTATTTTGTTTGAAATTCTTCTAGAAACATGAAAAGACATATTGTGCTTATGAGATGATCACTTTTGAAGTAATTGTTCCACTATTTAACCATATAGGCAAAATAAAATAAAGAAGCAGAGAAATTTAGAATTATACATTTCTTTAAGAGCAGTTGTGTATGCAGCATTGTGTGGTGCATTATAATTTGTAAACTAATGCTATATGCCTGTCAGTGAGACTGATATCAAACATTTCTTCTTGATAATACTTTTTAATCCCAGCAACCAGCCAAAACTTGGACTTTATTCTTCTTAAAGAACACTAATTTTCTTTTCTCTATGTTTTTATCCATTAAATAATACCAGCTCATTTCCTTGTCCTTTTAGAAATGAAACTGCTGAGAAGAAAAAGGAAGACTTAGAGATTACCTGTGATTCTCTGAATAAACAAATTGAGACAGTGAAGAAGTTGAATGAATCACTCAAGCAACAAAATGAAAAGTAATATCTCTCTTAATTCTTTATTCTAATTATTTGGAGTTTTAAAACAGTTTTCTACACAGAATATTGTTCTTAGTGATAAAATTTATAAATTATTTATGTTAGAGAAAAATATTTATTTGGTAGGTTTTACAGGTAGTAATTGTTATTATTTTATGGTAAAAAAATTTGTTTTTTTGTTTGTTTGTTTGTTTTGGTCCAGTCGTGGCACCAGAACTCTGGGCCTGGGCGCTGTCCCTCAGCTCTTCAGCTCAAGGCAAGCGCTCTACCACCGAGCCACCTTCCCAGACCCTATGGTAAAAAAATTTGTTAGGGGTCTGGGAAGATGGCTCAGTGTAGAGTGCTTGCCTTGCATGCATGAGGCCCTGGGATCAATTCCTCAGCACCACATAAGCAGAAAAAGCCAGAAGTGGCGCTGTGGCTCAAGTGGTAGAGCCCTAGCCTTGAGCTGAAGAGCTCAGGGACAGTGTCCAGGCCCAGAGTTGAGGCCCCACAACCGACCTTAAAAAAAAAATTGTTAGGGACAAAAAGTCAGAAATGATATGATTTGGTGATATTTTTTTCTTCTATACTTCAGAACTATTGCTCAGTTGATAGAGAAAGAAGAACAGAGAAAAGAAGTCCAGAATCAATTAGTAGACAGAGAATGTAAATTAACAAGTAAGTATCCTTTGTTTGATATTGTCTATTTTTAGCATATATTATTTTAGAATAAAATCAAAGCATGATTTATTTTAGTTTTTATTATTTTTAACTTTAAATTACTTCCTAAACTACTTTCTTTTTCATGCTATAACATTTCACAAGTACAATTTGAAAAAATTTGACTGACAAAGAAATCCTCTTTTCTTTGAAATCTGGGTGTTAATATAAAATAAAAAATACTTAAGGAACATAACAATAGGTGGCAATGCTAAGTAACTTTTAGTTACTAGTTTTGCACACGTGTGTGTGTGTGTGTACACACATGTACACATCAATACTGGGCCTTGAACTTAAGGTCTTAAACTCTGCCACTTGAGTCACACTTCTAGTTCTATTTTTGCTGCTTAACTGAAGATAAGAGTCTTTGCCCTGACTGTCTCCAAATGTCAGTCCTCAAAACTCATCCTTAATAGCTAGGATTAAAGGGGTGAATAACTAGCACCTAGTGTATTTACTAGTTTCTTCATATGGTATCTGTGAATTGATCCACAAAAACTTTCAGTTACAATTCATTTGCATTGCAGCACATTTATAATTTTTTTTATGTTTTTGGCTCTCCTCTTGTAATCCTTATAATTTCTACAGATTGCCCTTCCTTTCTTTATGGTATATTACATTTTAAACAGGAAGTAGAGAAAGGTATCAAGATTTGTTGTTTTCTATGCACTGATGTCATAGGAGAAGAGTTTGATGGTGACTTTTTTTTAGCAAATTTTAAAAAACTTACATCCAGATAGTTATTTCTTCATTCTTATTGTCTTTGATTTTGCAGTAGCTATCTAACCTTTTCAGAGTACTATCAGTATTACTAATGACTACATAGTGACGATTTTTTGTTTTAAGATTTGTATCAAAAAGCAAAAGTACAAGAAGAAAATATTAAAGTCTTAGAAAAAGAAAATAATGATAAGAATGAAGCCATTGACATTCTTAGAAAAGAGTTAAGCAGAACGGAACAGATAAAAAAAGAGTTGAGCATTAAGGTAAGACTTTAGTTTCAATTTGCATTAAAACTTAAAAGTCTGTGAAAGGGTCAACTTGGATAGATTAATGTTGTTTCTTTAGTGAAAATATATAGATATATTTCTGCTTATAAGGGTGATAATAATTTTTCATATTTGTTTAGATATTTATAATTTGCAAAGAACTCTCTGAAATATTAAATATTTAAATTCTCCTTGCATTACCAGATACTAATCCCTCCAGATACTAATCCCTATATATGAATGCTCTAACTTACAAATGAAGAGATTGAGTCTGAGATTGTGGTTAACAGTTTCAGTAATAAACATGTGTCTGGTATCTTGAGTCCAGTGCTCTTTCTATGTTGTTATTATTATTGCTTGGGTCATAGCTATGATCTGCTTTCTGGCCCATTTACAACCAGAGATGAGAACAGACTAGGATTAAAAGTTGAAATTTTACAGAACATTAGTAACAGAAGAGACATAAAACTTAATGACACATAAATAGTTTCGGAGAGCCTACATTAATATGTTATCTTTTCAGTGATTCTGAATAGTATTATATAGTGTTTTCTTCAAGTTCGTAGCTGTTAGCATTGATTTTTAAAGCATTGCTAATGTCTATTATTTATTACTTAAATTTATCATATAATTAATTTAGCTTTCTATACATATTTATGTATCTATAAAAATACATATGCTATTCTCTTTCTCCTAAATTTTTAATCTCTGATTTCTTAATTCCTTAGGCTTCCTCCCTAGAGGTACAGAAAGCCCAATTAGAAGGTCGTTTGGAAGAGAAAGAATCTTTGATGAAAGCCCAGCAAGAAGAGTTGAACAAACATTCTCACATGATAGCGATGATCCACAGTTTAAGTGGTGGAAAAATAAGTCCAGAAACTGTGAATCTGAGTATATAGACATTATGGCACTTTGGAATTTGTAATGTAATAAAATTTTTGTAATATTTAAATAATAATAATTTATGTGGTGGAGAAGATAGTAAAGGGAGGTGATTTTGTGGCTCCAAAATAGTCGGAATTATTATCTAATTTAGTAAAGATCCTAATTTGGTGTATGTCTTATTTTTTTCTTTTGAATATAGAGCTTTTTAAGTTTTACTTTTGGTCTTTGGCCTTTATTGCTCAAAGCTTTCCTTAGCTTCTACATTAGGATATTACTCTTTAGAAACCATTATTGTCTCTCTAATATTCCCTTTCATGTGTGTCTGATTTATTCTCACTTGTAACTATAATCATCACTTGATGACAAGGTTAAATTTTGATTAACGCATTCTTAAGCAATTTTGTCATTTTTTTAAACCTTTTAAAACGTCCTTACACAAACTAAGCAGCTGCAGTTTACCAGTCAGTATTATCTTATGCAGGCATCATTGTAAATGTGGAGTATCATTGGCCAAAACATTACATCAGGCACATAACTATAGTTCAATTATTTTTAATTGCGTTACTTAGATCTTTTAAAATCTTTTTTTAATAAGTTTTTTTATGGTAAAAATACTGTATAGAGGGGTTACAATCACATGAGCAAGGTAATGAGGACATTTCTTATCAAGCATTGTTGTCTCCTCCTTTGATTTCCTCTACCATCCCTTCCCTCCCCCACAATACAGTAATCCTAAAGATTAATAAATTGTAATTGCTATTAGTAAGAAGAGAGGTGCTATGATATTACTAAAGAAACTTCTCTAAAATATTGTATCTCTGGATGTAAAATGATCTTTATTCATTTTAGATGAAGAGATATAAAGTTCTAAGTTTAAAAACCATAATTGGCAGGAAATAGTGTACAAAAATTAGTAAACAGGTAGTTAAATAATTGCATTATCTCTAATAACTTGTGGAATTATTCTTAAAATACCTTTTTGTATTTTCTCTTTTTAAAATGTTACCACTTTCACTGAGTTCCAAAGGTAATTTACATTTCTACCCATGCTACAGATATGTGTTTGTTAATTGTAATATGCATTTATTTCATAAATTGTTCTTAATTAGGGCATTTAATTTTGAAGTGTGTTAAATGTCCTTTTCATGTAAGAAAAGTTTTATATTTTGATATATCTTACTGCTCTATACTATTGCAGCCACTAATATACTTGATGCTTTCTCTACTTATCCCTATTTAATTTAGGTAAGTTTAGATTTACATTTATTGTACAAATTAAGCTTAAAAATATTTTTGTATTCCACTAAATACATTAAGTAATATAAAGCTATAATGGCTTTCTATGTACATTTTTTGCAATTCTTTAAACTATGCTGAGTAAAACATTTTAAGTTAACACTTATTCTACAAGAATACATTTTATTTTTCTTTGGAAATTCATGCACATTTATTTTAATATAGAAAAACCTTCCTATGTATATATGCTACTTAAGAGCAGAAGGCTCTGTAAAATGAAAAAGAAATGTAAAATGCTGAGTGATTAAACTGAAGACTCCAAGAAGGCCTAGAAATATGGTATAAGTGGTAGAAGACCTGTGTTTAAACCCAAATGCCACAAAAATAAGAGATAGATAAAAGGTTGAGGGAAAATGAAATTATTTTTTACAATTTAAGCCTCCCTGGATACTGAACATTGCTCCATGCTGTTCTATAGAAATTCCTGTAATGATTGGACTGTTCTAGACCTATACTGCCATATGTGGCTGTTACGTGTCTGAATAGTAGCCTGTACAACCCCAAACTAGATTTTTTATTTTATTTAATTGTAATTTTAATTTTATAGCCATCTATTTAAAAAACATGTCTAGCCCTTTTTGCAAATGTACATTTATAGAACTTGCTAGCCTGCTCTCAAAAATCTGTATAGGCAAATGAGGTAGGCCCATGTACTTTATTCATGATTTTGCTTTCTGTAGTTTGTTGCCATGGTCATCAAACATGGACTGAAAATAATATATGAAAGTTTTCAGAAAAAACAATTTATAAGTTTTAAATTGCATGTAATCCTGAGAAGTGGAATACCACATCTGGACTTTAGTAAAGTCTTATGAATTATGAAAATAGGACTGGGTGGTAGCTCAGGTAGATCCTATCCTCAGATAGGCAGGTTTATCCTCAGATAGACCCTGGCTTCAGTTGCCAGTACTGAAAAAAGAAAAACGTTAACATTTATATCCTTCAGTTTGAATTTACTTTCCTCAGAGTAGTTATAAGGAAGTAGTTACATAATTTGTGCTTACATTCAAGGCTATTTTATAATTTGTAAATTAAGCAGAAACATGAAATTTTAAAATTGTAGGTTCTTTAGAAAATGGACATAACTTGAAAATCTTACACAATCTTATTCCTTCGTTTTATATATTGACTGCCTCTATTCAAAGACGCTGAAGTTTACTTCATTTATGCTTGTATTCATCTAAACATTTCCCGATATTCTGGAGAGAATTCTTGTTTTATAAAGCTCATTACATAAAGAGAAACATCTTCCCTCAACTGGATGTTAGTAGTTATTTAATTCCCCCAATGACCCAGTGTTTCTATGTTCTCATGATATCAAAGGACGTATAGGTCTAGAACAGTCCAATCACTACAGGAATTTCTATAGAATAGCATGGAGGAATGTTCAGTATCCAGACAGACTTAAATTGTAAAAAATAATTTCATTTTCAGAACTTTTATCTCTATCTTTGTGGCCTTCCCTCTTTGAGTGACATTTTAAAAGCTAACAGAGAAGATTAAATTTCAGCTTCATTATGTTATTAAAAACTAATTTTCCAGTAAGTAGCTGAGCATTTGACAGTGATTCAGTAGTAAACATAGTCTACATTTCCACTATATTACCTTCACTGTTATTTTAAGAGTAATGATTCATTTTATTAATCTGGAGAAAGAAAAAAATACAATGTATTAGAATATCTAGCCCTATCCATTTCTTAGACTTCAAATACAATGATGTATGATTAGCCCTAGGACAAACAACAGTGTTAGAGTTTAATTAAACAGGATTGCCCCACAGTCAAAGTAAGTTGTGGAATACCCAGTTAATCCTGTTAAGGCTAGAAGTATTTTGACAGAACTGTGAACCAAGGGCCCCTATGTTAGAAAAAAACATTTAAAAAGGATTTTGTCACATTTCATCTGGAGTGGCCAAATGACTGAAGCTAAGAGGTTGACAAGGGATAGTTTTTAAGTATGGTTGCCTGATGCCCTAACTTCTTTTATTTTTGAACTGGACAGAAACTCACATCTCACCCTTGCCTTTCTCTGGCCCAGGGTAGGTGAGAACTGAATAAAGGAAAAGCAATGAGTCCCTTCCAAAATTTCCATTTAGGTTTTTCATACAAAAAAGGGATTCAGACTTGCAGAGTATCTACTCCTGACTGGCCAGTGTCAGGTCCCCAGTGAGCTCAACATGGTGAAAACCCCATCTTGCTCTCCTATCTGAAAGCAGAACTCTGACTCCAGAATCTTGACAGGCTGCTAGAGATGAAACAATTCCTGGGTTTAGAGGCAGAAAGATAGGTGGAGAACCAAGTAGTTCTTCAAGCATAAAAATAATCAATAAAATTAAAATCCCACTTATTCTGTAGCAGGAATCTTATAACAGGGAAAAAATTCCTGACTTGAGAACTTTATCCTCTTGTTTAATGAAGACAAATAGAAGTTTTACATAGTGTATATACTTCACAGCTGTAAAATCAAGAATCTCTGATTTACATGAGTTAAAATTAGAAAGTACTTGGCATAAATTCACTTTATTAATGAAATAAAGTGTTTCCTGGAGAGTTAGTTTATCGAAGCACCACTACATAAGAGTCTAGCTTTATTGGGTCATTTTGTACACTAGTGTTAAGTTTCAGTCATGAGGGAAGATGTCTTGCTGAATTACAGACCCATGAGTTTTGAGATGTTGGAATTATAAGTAGTTCAGAACTAGATTTATCTTTACTCTTCTTAGTTACTAATAGACATGATCAAGGAGTAATATTGAAAGAAGCTTGCTTGCCTAAATTAGACCCTTAATTCTAATTACAAACTATTTTAATAGCTCAAAATTAGACAGACATGATCTACTTTAAAAAGTATTTTTAATTTACAGCTGACATTGATGACATTTCTTTTCAAATTCATCTTTAAGGTCTAGAAAAACCCATAATAACCCACATTCATTATAAGCCCTACCACCTGTTTCTCTCCATCTTTACCTATTAAAAATAGAATTTATTACATTCATTTTTAGCATATAACCTTCTTGAAAATATGCTAGCTATGAGAGTGTTTTAAAAGCTATTCCTTAAACCAAGCCACACATTGAAAACTACCCAACATTAATCCTTCTAGGTGAAAAGAGTTTCCCTTCCCCCAGTAGATTATTTTGTTGATCATTTTCCAGGTCAGAAAGATGCATCCCAGTTGTTCAGGTGATCAGGCATGGCGAGTAAATGATTGATGAATCTGAGCAGTGGATTGGTATGTGCATTGGTGCTGTTTATTAATATTAGGTTGATATCAATTTTCTAAGCAAGTAGGCATCATCTGTTAAGACATCTGTGCCTGCCTGGCTATAGCAGAAAATGAGAATAGGGAAGTGTTTCTATTGGAAGAGGGACATTAGAAATAAACAAGCTCTAGGGGGGAAAAAAGTATCAAAAGTGACTCCATTTATCTCTTTAGAGTAGTACTATCAGTTTTCGTAAAAAGTTACATTTTCCTTAAAAATCACTAGACTCAAAATATCTCAGCTAGGGCTGAGAAGTTAGCTCAATGGTAGAGTGCTTGCCTCGCATGCATGAGGTCCTGGGTTTGATTCCTCAGCACCATGTAAGCAGTAAAGAGCTGGAAGTGGTGCTATGGCTCAAGTGGTAGGGTGCTTGACTTGAGCTGAAGAGCTGAGGGACAGTGCCCAGGCCCAGAGTTCAGGCCCCATGATCGAAAAAAAAAATTTTTTTTCAGCTAATTATTTGGAAGCAACACAATATAAATTTTATGCAGTTTCTATTTCCTCAATTTTTAGCTAGGTGCAAGATTCCCTGGAATTGGGAGTGTTTCTGTTGGCCAGGGTGACAAACATCCGTTGAAGCTACACCATTAAGTTATCATAAATGCAATATA